TTTGTTTTTACTAGCTTAATTTGTTAAGTTTAGACATTAATCCTATGAGAATTTCGCTAATTATGACGTCACCCGTTGGCAAAAATGTATATCACATTTACATTACGTGGTGTGCGCATATGTTTGTTGACCTCTAATCTAATACCCATATTTTCCTTTTTTTTTTTCTTTTAATTAAAAAAATTTGGGGGATAATGGGGTGTCTCAAATTCTGAAACCGCAAGGGATGGGCTTTATTTAGTTTATCTTATTCTTTTTTCTTCAACTTTAATTTTTTTTTTTAATTTGATATTGCGTTTAGTAAGTCAATTATCCAGATTTCACGTCAAGTATTTCTACGGTTGGGGGTGGTTGGGGTGCACTTTACGAGCATGAATTGGCGAGATACTGTTTGTCTTGAAATATCCTAACAGTATTTCGAATCAGAATTTCTACTGCGCAGACTTTATCTAAGAGAATTTTCAACTCCGTAACAATAGAAAACAAAAATTGAACTAAAAATTCAAATCATATTAACTTGAGAAAGTCCACAAACTTATCACTTTGCCAATCCACACTTTGATTTCAGCATTGAAAATTATGGTCCCCATTGGCTTTCCTTTTGGCATGAATTGTGAATGGGAATAGTTGAGAAGGAGAAACTATACACAACTTGGAGAGAACAACTGTTGAGATCAATGTCCAAAAGATTGTTATCTTTTATTTTTGCCAGTTTGTGGTCTTATGGGAGACACGGGACTCTAGTGTTTCTCATACAATGACATTGTGTTATTTTGGGTATATAATATTTTGAGTCAGTAATATGTGAACTATACACTTAAGCATTTTACAGAATAAAAGAATTTTTTATTTATATTTTTTTGTAAGTATATAAAAGAAAGCAATTGGAAGGTTACTACTTACTAGAAGTAGAAGACAAAAATCTTGTTTGGACGGTCATAAGTGGGCCCATGTCGATTTAGCGGCCTGTTAAGGGCCCAATCCATGCTGTGTTTGATATAGATTTTAAGCAAAGCCGAAATTTAAGTCTGTTTGAACTTTGAAGCTGGGTGCACCGAAAGTTATCACATGACAAAAATACCCAAAACCTAATAATATATATTTTGTTTATTTGTGTCTTGGGTTTTTGAGATTTTATGTCAAAAAGGGCATCTCTAATTTGCAACCTCTAATTGAAGCAAAATCATAACCATCGTTGAAAGTTGAAACAAAAAGACTTATTAGTTTCTACTGCAATTTTTGCTTAGACTCTCTTGTTTTTGGTGTTGAAAACTTACACCGACAGAAGTTATCCTCTTTGTACATCTTGGTAAACATAACCTGAAATTCAAACAGTTCCCCATCATCTAAGGCCCCGGCATCAATTATGAATTTATGATACTGGTCCTTTACTCGAAAGAAAAATAAACTAATAGAACCCATTCATGAAAATTTTCAAATGATAATAATAATTACATGTGATTTTATCATATGTGTAATATTTCAAGTGCTGATGAGGAAAAAGTTTGGAGGAAAAAAAGTAATAAAAAAATAAAAAAAATTAACTATACATAATTATTAGCAAATGAGCCGTAATCGACTTGAAGATGCGATTTATACTTTTACAAGACCTAAACTAATCATATTTATACGATTTGTTCAGTAAACGATCACTGATCATTGTGTCCCCATTTTAGTGGGACTAATAACAACAATCTTTAGACTTTCTTAATTTGAATGCGAGGTATACATTATAGCATTTATTGGTTATATTCTAAATTCGGAAATTGAAGGTATTGGTTTGTATGGCTATGGCACTTCCACCTCTCGACCACGTGACTACGAGTACTTAGGTGAATCTCATGTCGTGCTTTCATTATTCCCCTGTCGTATAACTATTTTCGAAGTAGATAGATACATTTAGCAAACAAACATAAGATTTGTGAAATGATATGATATAAGATACTCACACTCAAAAACTATAATTTAATTTAAAAGCAAAAGTAATTTAATAAAGTAATTTATTTGATGGGCCTGAAATATCAGTCCACCAAGATTTTTGAATCACGAACTAAGTCAATCTCTCGAGTCAGAAATCGTACACTTGATATAGCTTAATTGAAAGTGAACTTGATCCCTTATTTATAAGGAATTTAATGACGTTTTATCTAAGACAATAGGTTTTCTTAATAACCATGGAGTCAAATCATCCAAAATCAAGGCTAATATACACAAATTTACTTGGATATCTATTTAGGAATATTTTGTAAAAGTTTTGTAAATATTTAAATTAATTTCATATATCATTTAAGTCGTAGAACTCAAATCGAACTGGATGTGATATAGCCATATAAAGATATACCGGCCCAAAGGCTCCCTACTCGACCGGATAATGGCTCGAACCAATTCGTCATGCCGACACGGACCATTCGACATGTTGATGTCGATTCCTCTAAGTCGACTCTTAACAAGGTCGATAACGAGAAGTAGCAGATGCGCTACCAGTCGACATCGTTCAGTCGACTTCCCGAAAGTCGACATCTATCCGAGAAAACCAATAAGAACGTAGCCTCCGAATAACCAAGAGATCCTGGGTCGACTCGTTTATACTCGAGGTCGACTCCTTCTACCTCGAGACGAGAGGCATTCCGACGATTCCATACACTTGGTATATTTCTTGGGACCTCTTGACCATTAATGGATAAGAAGGAATCTTGGGATGACTCAACAAGGAGGGGAGACGAATCGACCGGGGCATTTTGGACCTTTCGGGTCCACCGACTTGGGCATTTCGGGTACTTCAGGTAAGTATTCACTCCTATATAAAGGAGATGAGGTAACCCCAAACCCTAACTCTCATTCATTCCACATTCCCCTCATAGATGTTGCGCAGCATCCCTTCATCACTCTCATACTGACTTGAGCGTCGGAGGCTCTACGCCGGAAACACCTCCGGCGTTGAGTTTTTGCAGGTATTCTCGCAGTCTAGCAACGATTCAGAGGCGGTTCAAGCAGATCTGAGCTCAAATCCACCGGTTATCTTCAGATCTAGAAGTAGACCCATCAGGATGGAACATCATTATTTAGATCGATATAATAAGACATATAGATGAATCTCAACACACATGAGTCTAAGTGGTAAATACTATAGAACATTCATTGAAAAGAAAAGATTTCTTGTGATACATGTCAAGAGAAAACATATAGATGACTCGATAATGATTCTTATATTTATCTTTTCTTGTGATACATGTCAAGAGAAAACATATAGATGACTCGATAATGATTCTTATATTTATCTAAGTTCGACATATTTTTCTTCTCTATAGTTCTATACTAATATAATGTTGATGTCCAATTATATATTTGATTATGATATCTATATGTTGCATGTATTTTGATAAAAGTACCAAACAAACAATAGAAAAATGAAGAAGGAACTTATACAACTAACAACTAACAACTAACAACTAAAATTGGAATTATATCATATATGTTATATACTACAAAACTAAAAACTCTAAGAAACCATAAAACTCTAAAATTTTGAAAAGTATTAGAATCATAAAAATAAAATTAGTACTTCGTATATTTTTTAAAATCGAACATTTTTACTCGTTGAAGAAACACACTTCTTAAGGCATGCAGACTATTATACAAATTGTTATTTAAATAAAATATTTTATTGACTCATTCTAATTTGAACTTATTATGTATCGGAATCTTCTAAACCATAACAAACATCACAATTGGGGCATTAATAGACACAAGTAACTCGATTAATCCATGTCAAACCCATTATCTAAGTCGGTCAATAATAAGGAAACGGAATTTGATAAGAAGTCGTACGTCTCCACTGTACAGTGGCTGCCACCAGTCGTTGATGCACTAGTGGGTTGGGTAAGTGGACGGCCGTGGATGGCTCGCACAACACTGAAGTGGGCTGGTCTTTAGACTCTTTTGGTTTTTGCGGGTTATTGGGCCTATAAGTGGGGCCCAATAAATTATCGCCACATTAGCTCAGAGGAAAAGCAATATAATGTGCTGTGGTCACATAAACGTGTGGAAAGTTTTGTCTCATTTTTGCTTGCGTTCACAACACTTCAAATTGACTCACTCATCCCATTGATTTCTGATGTTCCGATGGTATTCCATTTATATTATTCAAAATACGCGGAGCAATTTAATAAAATACTAAAGACAATTCTTTTCATAATAAATAGTGCAACGTAATCCCACAAGTTTTTAATATAAATAAATAGTTTTGTGTTATTTATTATTGATTTATTTTATTTATACTCATTAATGAAGATTTAGGTGGTGATTGTTTATGGATTGAACTAGTTTTTATTTGGTTTAATTTTTATCTATAGTTAATTTTGAAAAATGTGTATGGTTAGTTGGTAGTAGATATATTAAAATAATATTTAAATAAAATAATGAAAGTTGATTTGATGTAAAGTAGGAGAAAAATGATTGGAAGTGATAGTTAGTTAAAATTATGTGAGTAGATGAATAGTGATATAAAGTTGATGTGATGTGTAAGAATAATAATTGGTTGATATTATTTAATTATAATGATAATATTAAAGATAGTGGAGTTGAGTTAAATTTGAGTTTTGATTAAGTTTTTTAGTTGAATTGGTAAACAATCACCCTCTATCAACAAGCTGAAACTATTAATTAAACTTTAGTTTATATTAGTTTGAGACTCAAGAGATCGGACATATGTACTAATTCGAGGCTTGAAAGAGAGAATTTTTATCAATTTAGGACCCAAATAATTTACAATTATCAGTTGATCTTAAAAGCAAAAATATGTTTTTATATATTATTAATTTATATTGAAATACTTTTTCACTGTCAAGGGCCCCAACATTTTCTTGAGATTGGACCTCTTGAAATTGCTTCTGTCGTAATTTCATGGGCTTTTAGATGATGCTTTATAGGTATATATATACAACAATCCTAAAATAATTTTGAGGTATTTCTATGTTCTTTTTTTTTTTGAAAAATTGGAATCATAAAATAGGTACATAACTAATTTTTCTACATTTTAAAACCTCACTTTATATAAATATTAACTAATTTGCTAGATTACAATTGCAATATTCCCTGCTGCCCAATATAAACAAAAGTTTAGTAAAGTTATTACTATAATTATTTTAATTGAGATGAGCATATGAGATCAAATTGTAATATGGATAATCCCGACTATGTTGGCTAATTATTTCTACGTAAGACTCATGAGGGAAATCTCAAAGATTCTTATTCATGTTACGCCATTATTTTGTCAGATTTTTCGAATCAAAAATGAGGGAAAAGAAAATCACTCTTAATACTATTGTTGATGAAAATGGAAGCAGTTGAAAGCATTGACCCAGGCCGTAACATCTAGAAAAAGCAAGGGTTTTTACCAACATAATCAATTGTGGGATTCAGGCATGAAGAGAAATCAAGTGCAAGGACTAATAATAATAATAATGATAATAATAATAAAAGGATTTATTTATGATTAATTAATTATAACCTTAACCGTCATCAGACAACCACCCGTCCTGGTCAATGGTTGACCAAGTTGTTGACCACTATTTCAATCGGTTAATTTTCATATAGCTTGGTAGGTGTTGATAAAAACCAAAGTTTAAGATATGGGTCTTCCATAAAGCGCATAATGGTTAGGCAGATATATTTTCTCAACAAATATATATATATTTACTTGCATACTCAAATGTCATACATTAAAATTTAATTCAATTAAATATATGATATTTCATATTATAAATATAAATTCTTTTAATAAGGTATAGCTATATAAAGTTGGACAGCCTAACTGCTGTTAAGAAATTAGTTGATGATAAGTTTGGTAAAGGATTGATAACAAGATTAGAACTGGAAATTACTAATTTCAAATACTATTTTTTTTTTGGGGGGACCTAAGGCAAGAGTTTGATATATATATAATAATACAATTTTAACATTAAATCATCAGCCATATATAATGTATTAATGTTTAATATCATGATGTGCAGTAGAAAAGACAACAATATATACGGTTCATACCACAATGCAGCAGCATATTTACACAGTACAAGGACAATGTCCTTTTTTCTCCTTTTTGTTTTTGTTTGGACATAGAAAAACAATGCATTTATGTATTTGTTTTAATTTGTTCAAATTAACATCTGAATCATGTGGTCATATATATCACATATGTATATTTGAGTAGCTTCACAACAGAATATTCATCTTTGCAATTCGTTTGCTGCATTAGAAATCGAAACGTGGCATGGGGTGACCATTGAGGACAGTTGTATCTCTTGAACCAACAATTACGTTTTTGCCAGTTAGATCGTGATTCTTATGAATCAAAACAGTAGTCCTTTTGTTAAAGTTTTTTCTCTGACATGCGCGTCTTTCTCATATATATGTGCTTTACAAAACATCTTTGTGTTTGTTATATAGAGAGAAGACAAATTTTAGTGAGTTTGTTATTTGAATTAATCATATACAACCGGACATCAGGTGTCGGAAGCGGATTGGTACACATTTATATGAGAGAAATGATATTACACACAATCATGAACAATACAATGTAAGATGGTAAACGATTAAGAGTTTAATTACTAAGCAAATAATGATACCCCAAATATTATTCACATGTATTAGGTGTAAGTGGACCAGAATCTATGTTTCCTAATCCCGTGGGTAGTTTGATTTTAGTACCTCTTGAAATTCCATGTTGTAGCCTATAAATAGGCCAAGTCTTTCTCAATCAGAATTAGACCGATTATGCCATGGTTAGCTTCTAACTCAAGCTACGTTGACCTACATAACACTCTAGGAGGGGGTCTGGTAGAAAACTTCTTACGCTCAAATTAGAGATCTGACTTTCTAGCTGTAATAGTGTTTAAGAACTATACAAAATGAATTATATGACCTAGGAACCTCCTTATATAATGAGGTTGCCTTCCCCTCCAATTCGTCCTGTCACTAAAAAAGAGAGATGTTTAAGTATCTCGTTTCTTAGTATGACACGTCTCCTATATCTTTTGTTCTTCAGTAAGATACTTTCCCACAATAGCAGGATTTGATATATCCTATGTTCTATTGGATGCATAGGACGTAAATTTCCGACTAAATTTTATGCTCGTGACGACAAATTTTGTTGAGTTCAGTCCTTGTTTCGGCCAAATCAAGCTCTTGATAAGTTCAAGGATTCCAAATATTATCCAATTCTCATGACTAGTGTACACAACGTAGATTTTGTGTGCATTTATGTTTAACGGTCTAGCATCTACCTTGCAATGCTAATCTAGCTAGCAATTCTTGTAAGTATAAGACCCAGACAATTAACATATTGTCGAAGACAGTGGCCCCTGTATTATACTGTGCCAGAGCCTTGATTGACATAAGTGCCGTGCAAAACCTGTTAGTGGCTTTCTTCACCACCTTCGCATTATGACAAAAGCAGTATGTTTGATGAATTTTTTTTTTTCTGCAGCACTCTACTTTTTTCTTCAACTTTTGTCTAGAGGAAACCCAAAGTTATGTGCCAAGGCGCTCTCTATCTTTCTATCGTGGGCTTTAAGAAATAAATAAAAGTTAAAAGAAAATGAGAAAATATGATGAATAAAATTTATGACCCATCCCGGTGATTGTCCCTGTATCATAAAAGCTTTTGCAGGCGAATCGAGTCTGATATCTAAAAAGTAGAGACCATAATAATAATAATAATACTGAGGGAAAAGAAGGCAATGAAGATAAGTGTAAGGCCTACACGGATTTCATATAGCCAGAAATAATAAAATGGAAGGACAGCTTTAAAAATTATCAGATCTTCTTGGATAAGGTCATATAAAAAATTACTGGGCTTTTTCTTATCCAGAGTTCCACTATTGGATGGATAAGATGGAAAGACTCCAAATTCAAAAACTTGAATCTTACTTTCATCAGTTTTAGACTACTATTAGTATGGCAGTCAGAGTACATATAACGGCAAACTTGTAGAACAAATCACATGTAAATATCTCAAAACGGCACACCTCCAGCCATAAACATTAATTCTTGACAGTTTCATATTACCTTAGGGACAAATACACACAGTGCCCTCGAACTATTAAATTTCCCATTTCTGACATGTAGCACTTGACGTAAATAATCCTACAGCATGAGAACTAAAACTATGTTTGCTAAATGGGATGAGATTGGACAAAAATAATACAATATTGTAGGATTGTACCGTTTGGATTATTTGAAATACAATGTGCATTAAATGAACCCCAAAAAAAATGAAATCTTTGCTTTTAATTAAGGAAAAAAAATATAATTTTTCATATANCTGTTAATGGGATTTTTGGCAGGGAAAGAAAATGAGGGGAAAGGAGAAAAAGCTTTTTCTGGTCAAAAAATGAATTCCTGTAAACTTTGATTATATATTGGTAGGGTTGTAATTGTGTGTTAGGGAGGGTCAAAACTGTCCACAAATGTTTAATATGAGCGTAAAATCAACTTTAAGCTTGCTGGGATTGGACTAATCCCATGTAAATGGCGGGATTGAATTATCCTGATTTCATGGGATAATTCACTTTTTTATCCCGGGCCGACCCAATTCCGTGGGCTTTAATCCACCGGACCAAACTCAGAATTAGGCCTGGATTAGGGGCCTAATTCTAGAAAACAAACATGGGCTAAGAGCACAAAACCATGAGCTTTGGGTTAGCATGTAATAAGCCCTTCAACGGTTGGGTTTAGCTAAAAAAATGACAAATGGTGGGAATGGTAAGAAAATAGATGAAGATCAACAGAAATCAATTCATAGACTACAACCCATCAATAAGAGCATCTCTAATGCTTAGAAATATTCAAGAAAATATTGCATTAGAGTTGGCGTGATCTATTTTTGAATAATGCTATTTTGACAATGGTTGACATAATGATGCGTAAATATTTTACTATTTTAAGTTGTTGATTTTAAAGGTAATAAGTGAAATACAAAATCGTCCCACATACGTGTTGATGCCAAAATTTATGTCAACCATTATGTTTGTGTACCATGATCCTCTATTTTTCTTTTGTTTCCCCTCACCATTCAAGATTTAAATCTATAAAAAATGCTACAAGTACATAATAAATACACATAGAGGTGTACATAACACTCACTTGGAGTGGAGTCCACTTGATTTTTTATTTTTGGTAAAATTCACTTAATGTGAGTATTATGTACACCTCCATGTACAATATTATAGCATTTCTCTCAGTCTATTAATAAAACAAATAAGCAAAATTAAATCCAAAGCAGAGTAGGTGCTCTTCCGAGCTGACTAAAGGCTTTCTACAATCTTCATACACTATCAATTCAACAAAAACCAACAGAAATAAACAATCCACAGTCAGCCGACAAGCAAAAAAACAACAAAAAAGGAAAAATGAGGTAACAAGTTCCCCCAAGACCATAGACACCAACTACACATGAGGTTCAAATGCAAAATCCACAAGTCGAATATTCAGAAACAAAAGAAACCATCCATCTAAATCATGCCAACGATTTTGTCAGGAGCAATGTTTGTGAAACTGTAGCAATACCTTCATCCATCAAACAGTACATTTTCATATCGTCATCAAGACCTCTCTTGTGCCCCAGGCGATTGACTTCATTTTTCCAAACCACGTGCATCAGTATAACATTAATTACTTTTTCATTCAAAAAAACCAGTAACATGCAAAAATCAGAAACATGTAGATACATACCTCCCATACTCACGTGCACGTGAAGGGCTTTCTGGATCACTGTAGGCAGGACTTCTGTTACGGGAATAGTCATCAGGACTCATTGTTTTCTCCCCATCCTCTCGTTTAGGACTTCCTGAATCGGGCACACGGCCATTGTCACCATTGGACCTCTCCCTTTGAGGACTTGGGCTGCGTTTATGATGATTGTGGTGGAAATCAGTGTCCCTGTCATTTCTGGGGCTCGGGCTTCGCCTGTGATGGTAATCAGTGTCTCTCTCCTTCCTAGGGCTTCGGCCACGACCACGGTTAGAGTCCCGTTCCTTCCTGCTCGGGCTTCGGCTGGGCCCACGAGCATATTCTGGGCTTGCTCGCTCTCTATGGTATGGGCTCGGGCTACGGGCCCGACCATGCCCATAATCGGGACTTTCTCTCTCTCGCTTACGAGGACTAGGGGATCTGGCCCTGTCATAGCCTTTCCTTGGTGATCTGTCGCGGCCTCTGTCAGGGCTGTAACCGTTTCGCCTGTCATCATCGTCCTTGGCAGCATATTCGACAGTGATGACACTACCCAAAAGTTTGCTGTAGAAAGTAAACATGCCAATCAAAAGCCGGCCCGGTCCCAGAGGATTATTGTAATAGAAAATAAGTTTTCGTTTAGTAAACGAGCTAGATATCAAGATTCAAATGATTTTGATTCCTCCTCAATTGAACTCTACCTCAAGTTGGTGGCATCTAAAGCTCTTGTTGCATCTTCTTGTGATTCGAATTGTACAAAGGCGAAATTCCTCCTGATCCTCACGTTTAATATTTTCCCGTAAGGATCAAAATGCCTCTCCAAATCTCTTGGTTTAATATTATAAGGATCGAAGTTGATTACAAAGAGCGTCTTGGAGGGCCTCAGGTGAGATGAAGATCTTCTACTGCTCTCTGGTCGCCTGCTGCTTCTTTCTTGCTGTTACTCAATACAGGAAAGGAAGGTCAAGCATTTGAAAAAATCAAAGTCAATGCAACTGACTGAGTCTCGTAAGCAATTACCTTTGTCCACTCAACACGAAGCCTACGCCCCTTTCGACCGTATTCAATTCGGTCTAGAGCACGAATGGCATCCTCTGCATCTCTTTCATCCTCCATGTAAACAAAAGCAAAACCTGACAAATAGAAAATATCACCGTCTTAATATCCCTTTTCTGAAGCTAGAAAAGTGTACCCTACATGCATAATTCTTCCATCAATTGATTCATCTATTACTACAGTATAATGTATTAATATGAATTATCAATGAGTAGGCAAATCATATACAAGCATCACCAGGTGGAATTAGTTGAAGAACCAACCCTCTCTATCCAAAGAACTCTGACCAGTTCAATCAGTAACAGACCTTGGCCAGTGAACCCAGCCATGTCAACGGACAACTATCCACAGATAGATGTCTCACGATTACAGCGTAAAATGAGTGCCTTACCAATTTATCCAGGTGTCTCGGGTATAACGTGGAAAAAGGAAGGATGGGCAAAAGTCATGTGGAATGAAGTCATAAATGACCGAGGGAAATGTGTGATTGTGATGTCATGGATGTCAGAGGGCTCTTCTAGGAAATTAGATGAGATGCTCGATACTGCCAAGGAATGAAATGCACAAGTAACCCTTCCATCAGCCATGGATAGTACTGACATTGCAATGAAATCCTGCGTCAAAGAATTAATTGAAAATGGGTGTCTGACACTTAAAACGATACACTTTGCTTGTTGTAAACATATCCTCACACCCAAGAAACTCAGCAAAGACACACTTATGTCTTTGTATGCAAGTTTGCGCGGGTACTCTGCTGAAGTGGCTCCCAATGTGCAGGACTCTCCTGAAGCTATTCAGCCCATGCTCCTTGAACTCCAGCATCTTCTCAGAAGGAGATCAGTGATGTGTACTAAAATCTTAGTTCTACTATTAACAAGAATACGTTGAATTTTATGATTTATAGCTCATGTATTTTTCAAATAAATAAGAAATTGGATTGAATCCCCCATAACAACAGATACCCATTGTAAATTAGTTACTACTTCACACCAATATTTATTGATCTATTTATCCTTTTGGCTTATGGAGTACCAAAAGTGTAGCTTTCCCAGTATTTATCCCCATGGCTTGGCACCTGGTGAGTCTGCATCTCTCATATAATTATGAAACGACAGGATGATAGTGCTCTATGCCATGAGACTTGAGCACATAGGAAAATAATACTTCTCCCTCAACACGCAGTGCATGTAAAATTGCAAATGTGGGAGTCATATGTTATTCCAATGTGCATGTTAGTACATTATATTCTGAAAGACTTTACAGTTCAACTTTAATGATATCAAAACGAAACAAGTATTCACACGATATTAGCCCCATTAATTTCTAGATTTATAGATTTAATAGGAGTATGTTATTCAGGCACCAAGCTTCCTGAGCTCACAGGGTTAGCTAGAAGAAATTCAAAATGAACATTTGAAAGTAACAACTGTTTCCTTCAATGATGATCATCAATTCAAGAAACACTAGTTGCATGGTTATATAACAAATACAACATCTTCAACAGACAATATCGCAATCTGAACATACCTGACTTCATATCAACCCTATCAACCTTCCCATATCTTCTGAAGAGTCGTTCCATTTCAGACTGCCGAGCATCATAATCAAGGTTCCCACAGAAAACTGGCCTCATTTTCACCTCACTCTGATGCTCTGTGAACTACGTGTATAAAAACAAAGAGACTAAAATAAATATTATAACTCCAAGTAAATTTCTTTATTTACTATTTCCAGTTGCAGTTCTTTATAGAGACCACCATCTTTAGATTGTGATGATCTAGCATCTTGTTCACTTCACAAACAGAAACCAACTGACAAACAGGATGACTTTCAATTAATATATTAACAGATACAAGTACACAATCAAAAAGCTCAAACACTATCTAGAAAAGGAGAGCTACCAGATGGTATTTATCCCCAAGACTACGATTAACTTCAATTGCTTCACTAAATTCTAATTTGATTATTTCATTCCTAGTTTTTCCCTTTTGAAAAAAAAAAAAAAGATAAAAGATAAAAAAATTGGAAGCTATATACATGATAAATTTGTTTGTCAATCAAATTTTCTCTTCCCATCATTACAATTAAAAATACCTGTAGCCTCTAGATTTACAATCTCTTTGCCTTACAAGTGATATCATATACGATTTCTTGATGAGGAAATAAAAAAGATAACAAAGCATCTTTCGCATTGAGAAATTGAAAGCCAAAAAGCCGCCATGATCGAGCAAAATCACAATTTCTTTCACACAAAGACGAAATCAGGCATTTGAGAAAAGTATTCGGAAAAAAAAAGAAGAAGAAAAAGAAGATAAAAACTCCAACAACTACCGAATAACAGATCCAATTCAGGTTAAACCTACAGACGAAGAAAAATGACAGTATACAATCAAATTGCTTGATTTTAGTGACAAGGGCATACCTTCGAAATGTGGAAACCCTAGCTGCTGAGAGGTCGATGGCGATGAAAAATATCTTGCCTCGATGATGAATCGTCAGCTAAATACGAGTGCGTGCGGAACTGTATATACAAAATATAATAATGAAGGGTTAAATTGGTCCGTCAGTAATAATGAAGGGTTAAATTGGCCCAACTGTTCCATTGTTAAAAACAAATCTAGGCCCAATTCTGCCACAGAAAAATCTGGGCCCAAATAATAACTCGGATTGGCTTTGAGTAACCAAATCAATGGATCAATTGATAATTGAATAATTCATTTTAAAAATTTAAAATATATATATATATATATATATATTATTTTATATTTCAAAATTAAACATTATTATATTTCAATAAATATTCTAAAAATTAAACATACATTAAAATCTTAAATTGTCATTGTTTGTCTTTCTTCTTAAAATTTTACAACATACAAAGAAATTGTTTTTTATTGATAAATATAAATATATTTGTAATAAAATAACAAAAATAAATATTATACGTAGGGACGGATGTGTCATTTGTTTGGACTTAAGTCTAGGAGTTTTAATTCTTTTTTAAAAAGTATTAGCTTTGAATTTGTTTTCCCTAGCTCAGTCCAATAAATCAGTCTACTTAAATTTACTTAATTCCAAAAGACCAGCCCAATAAATAAGTCCATTTAAAACTAATTCACTTATTTATTTATGCCCAATACACCACTCAACAAATCTATATCTATATATATCTAAAAAGGTTGATGTAAAAATTATTTTTTAGAAACCTAAAAATAATTGAGTTGACTTTTGACTTTGTATTTATGTATTCTACTTTAAAATCGGAAGAAAAATCGTGAAAAGACAGTGGATATTTTGTTAATTTAGCATGAAATTTGCGTTAATTAAGCAAATGGATATTCTCCTTAATAATGGTGATATTTCCGTTAATTAAGCATGTGAAATTGATTGTCCGTTGCAAAAATCATGAGACTTATTATCTATCCAAATACAATCCATAACTATCTTATCACTTTTGGTTAATAAAAAATATGTGAAATTGATTGTCCGTTGCAAAAATCATGGGACTTACTATCTATCCAAATACAATCCATAATTATCTTATCACTTTTGGTTAATAAAAAATTGTATAAAAGGATATTCACTACCACCATTACAACTCATCATTCACGAGTTCAGAGAAAAAAAAATACAGAAAATAATTTTTCATGCTTTCAGGTTTTTTATCGCATATACAATATAATGCTCCCAGGCTGGGTACACTTGATTCCGTTAACAAAAGAAACAAACTTTTTTTGCGTGTGAGACCACCCCGCATTATTGAAACCCATCACGAACGGGAGAGCTGTAACGCATTCCATATATCGTAGGGTGCTTTCATTAAATGCATAATACGTTATCCGAATATGAGAGCAACAAACTTTATATAAACTGAGAGCAGTCTAATTTTTGTAAAATATGTAAACTTTAAACGTGTTTTTATATATAAAATTGTATATACTTTTAAACATGTTAGTTGGGCAAACTTTAAGGATATATATATGTGTGTCTATGCTAACTTTAAGTATATATATTTTTCTTATAAAATAGTCTAGATAGAATTGAGGTAATTTTACATTTTTCGATAATAATATAAAATATGTTAATACTTTCACATATATTATATAATAGTCTACGTATTCTTAATGTCTTTTGGTTGTAACATTGTTAACACATATAATATTGGATACTTTTAAACATATTTAGATAATTTTTTTACTCATTCTTTAATATCTATGTGCATAAAAAGAGAATAAGATTTATAAAAGATTTTCCGGCAATATACTAAATGTTAGATAAAAAATCTCATTTTATTTGTTATATAATATTTCGAGTTGCACTAATTTTGATTTGTATGTGTAAACTTGATAAATTAAGCGTATGAAAAGGAGCGTACGAATTACTGTAAGGATTTAAAAAATAAAAAATAATTCTAATTTTGTAATATTTTCTACTAACACCTAAACGAATTTATGTCATAATTCGTCATAATTTTCCCATATCATGTCAATATTAATTTTATATATACTAGGCAAAAGGTAAATCATTATCTCAATATTTATTCTATATATTCTTAGTAAATCTTCTCATCTATCTCAACGGTCCGCATGTAGTATTTCATACTTTTCTATTCATAATCAAATATATCAAAGCTTCACAAATTTTACTTCACAAAGAAAGTGTTCAATAATTTATATTTTTTCCCTTCTTTGCAATCCATTTATTTTTGTTACATATATATAAATTATATTATTTTTAATATTTCACACGTTAAACATTTCAGAAAAATATACCATCCCGTGCATCGATTGATCTTTGAAATACACTTTGACTTTTTCCATTAATCCTTTTCCACTTACCCTGTTACCACCAAGGAGAACAAGTGTATATACTTTGTGAACTACGAATATTAGGGTGAAAAAATCTACCAAACAAGAAAAAATTTCTTCTTTAATAAGGTAAATTTATATTTTTAAAATCCTGAGATGTTTGTTTCATTTGTCTAATTGAAATTATCTCTCATTTCATTTTAGACTTTAGTTGATCTACTTAGGCTTTTAATAGTGCTTGTTAGGATAATTTATACAAGTATATATCAGAGAATTGTGAAAGTTGGAGAGAATATGATTGAAAAGCATTTCTTGAGAATGTTAAAGTTGTATTATCGACAAATGGTATTGTGTTCCAAACATAGATGATTTTTATAAGGTTGAGCGTCTTGTCGAGATACCACAATTGAACTGGTTACCACTTTGATATCTTTACTGAAACAATTGATTTCATTTTGATGGAGTTGAATATACAGTTTAATGATACCTTTATTGAACTTCTTTCACTCACTGTGGGTTTAAATCCTAAAAATTAGTTTGAATTACTTAGTAGTGATGATATTTGCAAACTCGTAAGAAAGTTTTACTCAGAGGATTTTACAACTCAAGATATTGTCACTTTAGAATTTGAGCTAATTCATTACAAGCATGATGTGCTTAAGAATTTTAAGGCATTGACGCTCGCTGAATTATTCCAGAAATTGATGTAGAGTAGTAGATCGAAGGTGTATGCTATATTAACTAGATTGATTCATTTAGTTCTGACGTTATCAGTTTCTATTACTACAACCGAACGAGCTTTTTCAGTCATGAAGTATGTGAAGTCAGCATTTCGTAATAAGATTGGGGATGATTTTCTTAAAGATTGTTTGGTGCTCTTCATCGTATGGGAAATTACGTAATATAAGTATATATTCTATATATTGATGAATTTTACTGTGTAAAAGCTCGTCAAACACAAGTTCAATGAATATTTAAAGAGAAAACTATTGTGTTATTTTATAAAATTGAGTTTCTAAATTTCTAGCTCTGTCTACTCTTAATTTCTAAATTCGTCCATGATTGTAAGTGTAAAGTTTATAACTCAAAAATCTCAACGTAATTATTTATCATCATAAATATGTTGTTGAATATATGTGTTCATACTTGTTTGTGTTTAGAACTCTAAAAGATGAAGAAAANAAAAAAAAAAAAAACATTTTCGAGTTGAACAAGTTTGAGTTACTTAAACTCAATTTTGAGTTATATAAACTAAAAATTCTCCCACATTACAACTATAAAATTAATTTCTAACTCAATCTATAATGGTTAAAAGATTAATTGACCCACACAACCATGAATCTGCCTTGAAGCAGAATTTGTATAGCAATAGTGTACTGCCATAAAGTATAGACCACACACTATAAGTTTACCATAAAATAACTAGAATAACTAGATCAGCTTATCTAGTAACGGAGTTTGTTATCCTAACAAAGTCATAGTCAATGTCAAACCATCACAACTGCACTAAGTTGCATCAAGTATATATTACTTTTTGCAGGACTACAAATTTATACTTTTATTGCTCTATTCCTTCAAAGGTCTGATCTTCTCCAAAAGGGGCAAGCAGAGATTCCAGAAAATCATCGTCATTGTGCTGCTGCAAAATTTAAAAATGAAACAGTGAATTCAAACAAAAATGAAACAAGTACTTTATTGAACATAATAAAAAGACTGATAAAAAAAACATGCCTCCATGGGTGATGCTTGGGTTCTATTGTGGAGCTGAGAAGAAGTGTTCAATACAGGAAAGTTTGTTAAACTTTCGCAGACTTGCTGCTGTCACATATTCATCACAGGGTAGAGGAAGTATATGATTAAGAATCAAATAGATTCAAAAACTACATTCAGTATCAAGAAAAATATGATATATATGTAATTATTATATATATAAATATACCTCAATTGGTGGTGCAAGTACTGGTTCATTTAGTTGAGAAGAGGTGCTACATTCCTGGAAAAAAAAAAAAATATCAACATTGCGAAATTTGAGACTTCGATTCGAAATACTAGTAAAATTGACTTATGTGTCAAATTTACTTAATTAGATTGGAATAATACTTGCCTGGTGAGGAGGTAAATCAAAAGATGGAACATAACTTTCCCACTGACCTATGTCACCATAAACATTACAAGTCGTAAAAGTTTCGCCTTCGTTCGGCTGCAAAATGTAACAACAGAAAGGAAATCAAGTGTGTTTTTTTTCGAGCAAATCAACCTATAAGTTAACAGTATATAAAGAGATAAGATTTACCTGCAGATTCTGAACATTCACGCGATCTTCCAAAGTCGAGCCAAAATCAGGTTGAGACATATAGAAAAATGGACTATAAGGCGACTCTAGTATTCGCACTCTAGAATGCATATGGATATTTTCGGACAGTTGTGTAGAATCATTATTATTGTTATTATTATTATTATTATCATCCACGTCATCTATATTATTCTCGTTCAATGTTTGAACAATGCCACCTCCTCCGATACTAAACCGTTGGCCGCCCAAATTTATATCATAACTCGAATTGGAATTCGAATTCAAACCTTGGCATTCCTTACGGAGACCTGATTCTCCGTGGTGCGCCACATTCGCTATGCTGTACCCTACGTAGTTTGTAGGGTGCACGAAATTCGGGTTTGTGTCGGGGTTTAAAGTAGCCGAAAGGGCACTCGAGAGATCCTCCATTGTTATATTGGGAGTGAGAAGAGTACTATTGTGGATATACGGATTATCGACATTATGATTGATGATGTCAGCATTGCTGATGTTTAGTCTTAGGTTGTTGTTGAGTCCTCTGTTGGTAAGAAAACGTGATTGTCCGAATCCCGAGGAAGCTTCGGAAGGAAAATATAATTGTGGGGTTTTTTGGTAAGGGAAATTGTTGAGTCCATTGAGGATTAGAGTTGAAGGGGTTGTTGTTGATGATGGTTCAAGGTTTGACTTGAGTAAGTTTCTATTATTTAAACCATTATCAGGGGAATATTGGATTTTGTAGCTTGCATCTGAAACTCTCCTTAGGAAAATCCTGTATTTCTGCATATTTTCATGAAAGAAATAAAAATTATGAAATTACATAGCATTTCCCATTAATAGATTTATCTTTAATGGCATAATTAAACTTTTTTAGTAAAGAAAGATCATCATTACCTGCAGATGACTTGCTACATTTTCTCTAGTTAACCCAGGGACATTCATGACTTCCAGAATTTTCTTTGGAACAGCTCCTACATTAAAGTTTACCAAAAAAATAAATAAATAAATAATAATAATAAAATTTGAAATTAATCAACCGATCGATCAAACATGGAATTTATGCATGCTTACTATCAAGACCAATGCTCCTAATAGCCTCCAAGAAACGATTGTGCAGCGAATTAGTCCAAATAATCTTCGGCCTTTTTTGCGAATTAGCGCATTGAGAAGTAGTTTCTCCCTTTTTGTCATCCGAGCCCTCGTTTCTAGGAGATTTTCTCTTCGAGTCCTTATTACTAGTCGCACTATCTGATTCATATACGGATATCATGACATCATCATTACGAATTCTTTTTCTCGTCTGGTAATTAGTTTCATCTTCTTCATTCTCCTCCTCGATCACCACTTGACTCTTCTTGTTCATGGCCGCAAATTGCCATAAATCCCTTACGTCATCCGGAGATACGGGCTTGTATATGAAAAATGCAGCTCCATTTTCCAAGCCTTTTAAGGCAGTACCTTCTTTATCATCGGCCGACATCACTGTTTCAATAATAATAATAATAATAATAATACACGAAATTAACAAAAATAATAAGTTTTTTTATTATGAGTTAGAAGTTGGAAATTAACTCACAAACAACAGGGAGATTGAATTCTTGAGCAATGGCTTGTTGTAATTGAAATCCATTCATATCCGGCATGTGTACATCGGACATGACAAGGTCGAAAGTGGCCCCTTTTATACGGAGGGTGCACAAAGCATCATTGGCATGTTTGACCGTCACAACTGAAGTCAATAAATCGAACAACATTAATTAGTACTAACATATATATGCAAAATTTTTAGGCAATAGCCTCTAGTAGAAGAGTGATTAGATCAACACACAAGATTGTAGTTACCAGTCTCGATCGGACAAATTCGATATTTTTTATGTGTAACTAAATGCAATTCGATTTTTCGGATTTGATATGGTATGATTTGTTCAATCTAAGACATGCATTAACCAAGAAAACAACATTCAAATTGTTTCCATGTTTATTTATGGACTCTGGATTATTGATTAGGACAATGCATGTATCTAGAAATGTTATTTAAAAAAAAATATATATAGAAAAATGTAGAAAATAAGGAACATTCACACACAAACATGGTGAAACAAAGCTTGTTGATAAATGGTAGGCAAAAGGAAGGTACTTAAAAGATGATAACACTTCAATGCCATATTATATATATATATTTTTTTTTATATCTAAATTGTTTTTTGCTTTAATTTTCCACACTTCTCTTATATGGGCTTAACACAACAAAGGTCTTCTCCAATGGAATAGCAAAAGAAAAACAGGGGGAAAATCCTTGAACAAATTAAGCTAAATAAATCCCTCAGAAAGAGAAGTGGTGAACAAAACACATATCTATTATATAAAGTTGCCATGCAAAATCTTGAATCACAAAAATTAAATTAATGAATAAGTAAATCACAAAGCATATTGTTATTAATTAAGTCACCATGCATATTATATATAAAATGTACCTTCATATTTGAACTTCTTGAGTATGGCAGCAACAATGGCAAGGCACGTTGTGTCATCGTCTACAAGCAAAATACTAATGGCATCGACCGATTTTTTCAACTCATGAGGACATGAGTTGCTTAAAGGAATACTTTCACTTTCCATTGCTTTTTTCTTTTATGGTCAACAGGGGTTGACAAATTGCTGAGGATGATTTATGTAAAGTGGTGTTTTTTTGCAGTTTGGTCAACCTATAGATAGAGAAAAAGGTGGCACAAGAAAGTGCGTGTACTAAGAAAATTAATTTATAGACTCTGACCCCTTNTCTCTCGCAATTGTTGGTTTCACACTATAACTTCCATCAGGTAAACAACAACTGTAATTAAATTGAGAGCTTAATTCAGATTAGAATTTGAAATAATTAGGAGCGGGTTAAATATGTAGTTGGCACTTTAATTTTTAATGGTGGTATTAGTGTATGAGATCTGAGACAAAAATCAAACATTGAAAGCAACTTACCTTATAATCCCATGTACTTATGTAGACATTTTTTTCGGACGATTTGGTGAAATATAATGGAGTTAAACATTATACCTTTCAAGAATATTTCTTCGCATATTAGAAAATTTTATAAAATTATCATAAATTGATTTCCTTTGGGACAAAATCATGTGTTTTTTAATTTAGTGGCCGCTCATTATTAGTTGTGTGTTGGGATAATTCAAGTTCGATCCCCTTTTCGCAAACATATATTGTGCTGCTCATCAAGATTGACATACATGTATATGATTATAAAATTAACACAGAATTGCAAATGGAATAGAAATGTGTCGTTTAACTTGCTAGTTATGGTTAATAAGTTTTTATTTTAAAGTTTTTGAAACTTTTGTAATCCTTAGAGATAGAAAAAGGGACTTTGATCGTACAACATAACCATAAATTGAAATTATGCATCGTACAATTAATTAGTTGTCAATAGTACAATTTTTTTGTTGATGGGAGTTATTACATATTGACAAAATATATGAGTTAAGCAACTACCTTTACTTCAATTTTCTCATATCATCTCTTGGAAAGGTGTGGCCTTTTTAGTATGTTTAATTGCTACAAGAAATTTCACACTTGCGTGATTTCTTTTTAAGTTTTAAATTGAGAACAAATAAGTCAGAAATTAGTCATCATCTGAAACATTCATTTACTAAGACATGATTATGCATACTAATCTCAAATATAAATTATCAAAGCTTAATTATAATATAGTGGTTATATCTTATATTTGCGCTGACAAGAATTGAATTAACCGCTCGCATTTTTATACATTTTCAAAACGTACTATTTCCTAAATTTGTTTTATTAAACTTTGCCTTTATTAGACTTCATAATTAATATTATATCTATATAAATAGAGAAAAAAAAAACGAAATTAATATGAGTCTATCTGATTATTAGCAAATAACTATAGATAACTACTAGATCTGTAATTTCAGACAATGTTGTTAGTAAGGACATATTGTTCACAATGCTGGTAGCATCCTTATCCCCAATATTGCAACAACAAATGAGGATTGAAAAGGTAAGAGGAAAAAAAGTCAAATTTGATTTTTCACTTTTGGTTAAGTGATATTTTGTCTTTATGGCTTTTTGTCTTTGTATACTCACTAGCATCACTGACAATGTGCAAGAATTAAATTGGTTTTACTATAGATATGTCTCTTTTATGTATTGTATGCTACAAATGGATGCTTGAATCAAGTGACTTATTAATAGGGTTTATATTTATGGTGAAGTATATTTTAACATCTTAAAGATGAGACATTAGATGAGTCATAATCATGGATATAGCTAACAGTAGTATATTCTAAGGATATTTGTTTTGCTAGTACAAATTCTGTTTCTATAAAATANTGTTTGTTCTTTTATTACTAACTCCCTTCTATAGATGGATAATACAAACTTTAAGTCCACGCAAATGCAGTTTAATGGTTAAATTTTATTTTATTTTTCTAGTCAAAGCAAACTCTTTTCCAGTTCAAAATTTGTTATTGCAACTTCCGCTTAACAAACTTATAACATCTAAAAGCATCTTATATTTTGAGGTTTATTATATAGTACTGTTTTCCTGAGAAAAATGTCAATATTTAAGAATGATCTTATAAATATTACCATGGGACTTGTTCTCATTAGTGAAACAATAAAACAGAGAACTTCTAAATTGGACAATGGGACTTGTTTTTATTAATGAAACAAAACACACACACACACACACACACAAACAGAGAAATTTGTTGGGGGAAAACAGCAAATTCAGCCAATATGCACCAAATTTACATCGACACAATCCAAAAATATACACATATATCTATCTCACATACCCTTATTTTCCCTTATAACTGCAAGTTCTGCAAGTGAGAAAATTTATGGTTTTTCTACACAGATTATGAAGTTAATTCACATATGATACTACTATGGTGATTTGAACTGTTCATACAATAGCCATAGCAATACACCAATTATGGTGTCTCTCAACAAATCCTTCGCAATAGAACCAAGAAAACCATAGTTATTTTCGGGCCTCTTTCCAGCAAGGTCTCGAAAACGTAAGTTTCCTGTATCGGACAAAAGCGAATAGATTACGCCATTCATATGCCCCATGCCAATAACTCCCACTACTTTCTTGCTGTTATTTACTGCTTTGCTTCTTTTCATTGACCATGCAAGGAACTGAAAGAAAATAACAATACAAATAAAAATAAATCGAAAAAAGGACAGACAAAAAATATATATATATATATATATATATATATAATTTAGCTATCTAAGCACGGATAGACGTGCGAAATTGCACAAGGATGTGGATTTTATGCACATATTGATACACATATGCTATCGTGAATATAGAAGTACACGAGTAAAATATTTATCTTGTTTATATGATGTTTCGATTATGGAAAACTAAAATTTTTCGGATAATCGGACTAAAAAGTGTAATGGTCTCAAAGCTACCAAAAACTGTGACAAGTTCCCACATCTGCAAAAGTAACACCAAAAATGGAAATAAAAACACAGATCAAGTCCCATCTCGTGTTATGTTGGTATACTCATGGGTGTGTATGGAAGTAGTGTAATTACATGGCACAATATTGGGTATGGATGCATTATCCTCACTCAAGTAATTCATATATAACACACTTAACTTGGTTGACAATTCAAAGTGGTTATGTGAAATGGTTCGGGAAAGAAAACAAAACAAAAAACGGAAATGAATATCGTGATATCTCACTTTGTAAGAATCTAAATTGGTGACAGAATACAAGCCCCAAAAAAAGAAAATTTGGAACATACTATTATAATTCTATTATAGATACAACATGCCGCATATCATAATTTCCATTTAATCAAATGTATACTTAGTAATTTTTTGAGTTGCTTACCGTATCTCGTTCATGTATGAGAGAAGGCAGAAGTGATGGATATGAGACACTTAACTGCTCATACAGTTGAAAACTGTTATCATCACCATCCTGGAAAATAAAACACTGTTAAGTTCTATATGTATATATAGATAAAGGATATAGTTCTGATAAGAACCAGGTTGTCCAAGTGTCAGAACCGTGTGTGGACCTATTTCTAATGGTGCATGATGCTATTTTTTACCAGTAACTTATTTTCAAAAAACATCTATATAACAGTCACTACTGAAAATAAAACCATAAGTTTTAACAAATAGCGTCATGCATCGTTAATTTTCCATAATTATATGACAATTCAATCTAAATATGAGATTAGATGCAACCATGCAATTAGTTCAATTAAACGGACATAAGTTAAAAGGTTTTACACAATCATGATTTTAAAATATTTGAGTGGCAAACCTCCATCTCCTTGTTGTAAAGGTCAGATGAAGCTATTCCTCGAAAGACAGAGGAGACAAGACTCAATTTCTCTTTCCAACTCAATGAACTCCACGCCCTCTCAAGCTGACATAAAAAAATCTATTCATGTATCAATAATCAAGCAGAAACACAAACACAAAGAAGAAACAAAGTCAATTAAACAATCTACAGTTTCTCACTTAGGACCAATGCAGCTGCTACATAAATTCAGATCCAACGTAAGAATGCAGAGGTTTTCATAGTCTATATTAATGAACAACGACCAAATACGTTACTTACAGTTATCTCTATAGGACGATCACCCAAGACTAACTGAGCCCCAATTTCTTCAGAAGCCTTTCGAGCAGCACGAAACTGGAAATTGCATTTAAACTTGCTCAGTGGCAACTTGGTCAAACTAACACTAGAAAACCAGTTGATAAAGATGAGACTAAAAGAATCTACCTCATCACCAAAGGGACGATTAATATCTGAAGATACTTTAGAAGAGAAAGTCGCCAAGAGCAACCGTAATGCTAAAGCCGTTTGACCCCCTATCATATAGAAAATTCATAAAGTACTTGCCTTTGGCAAATTGAGTTAAATACTCACACGAGAAAGTTATTAATACAAACCCAAGTTTATGCTTCGACCAATAGCACCAAAAAACCCAGTTCCACTCAAAGAGAACATGTTTGACTTCAGCTGCTGGCTTTGTTCCCCATTCTCAGGAGTGTACATGATTCCAGCTCTGGAAAACAACTCTGCAACAGATGAAGTTAAGACGTAGATCGAAAAACATATACTGGTAACTAAGATATGCATATAAAACTAATAAGGAAAATCCTACATATCTAAAACCACAAAGTTATGAGAACATGAGCCAAGACTCCTCCCAAAAAGATTACTCATTTTCCCACGTATGCACAAATTCTTCAGCATCAAGTGATACAAGATCCTAAAGTTTCAGCCCATCCAAAGGAATAGTACAGTGGTATGACTTTCGTTACTTAATTTATCTACTGTATATGGCTAGTTCAATAATAGCCGATCAGGAGTAAATGAACGTGTGAATTTATTATTCGGACATATTAATCAATGTGTTGTGCTCTCCCATCCATAATCCCAATTTGAGAACATAAATGTAACGAGTACCACGATAAATCTAATAACCAAAACCAAGTTTTCAGTCTGTTGGCAATTTGAATATAATTGGAAACAAATCCTTCAACTCGAAACCTTTCCTTGCAAACTCAATTATTTTAACCATACATTTGTGATGTGCTTTACCGGATAAGTTAAGACTGTTTAGCCTTTGTAACCCTCAATGATTCACGTAAAGGGTACATCTCTCCAAACAGAAAGTTCCACAATAATGAATCCTATAGTCAGAAAACAAACCATCACTGCTTATGGAGAACTTCCACTCAATTCTTTTTATTTTTGTTTTTCTTTTTATCCATATGTCCACACGTAATTGATTTTCGAATTTTTCCAAAATACAAAGTTCCCCTATTATCATTTATGCAATGATCACTCACATCCACTTACAATTGTACCAGAAAAACATTAGCTAAGCCATATCACCAAACTTCCAACATCACAATAACATTATTCATTCTACCTCAGCAACTATTTCACTAATCGGTGTCCTGTTTAAATCTTTTATCTCAATTGAACTGAACCACCAAAATCCTTTCTTTAGAAAGGAAAGAAAAGAAAGAGTGAACAATAATCAGTTTTGGATACATCAACAAGCAGAACCCATGTAACGACCAACACAAACGAAAAAAACAATAGCAGTTAAGCAGCACCAGCTCACAATAATCATGAACAAAGGGTAGAAAAATACTCGCCTGCTCCTGCAGAGCTCGACGACGACATTGTCAGGATTCACGGCACTTATTACTCTTTCAACATCCGAAGATGATACTCTGGAAGCATGGCTCGTCCCGATTATCCAGATAGCCTCTGGCTCCACAAAATCGCTTCTCCACGGCGGCACGGGGCCGTACTGGATTTTCCTGATCATCACCAATTTTCCATTTCTAGCTAAATCGATCAATTCAGGGTAGGTTTCGGCTATTGCGGCGGTGGAGGTGTCGAGAACTTGGTCCTTGAAATTGAAGGTCGGCGGTGGGGAAGGGACTACCGCTCTTGGTGATGACGAGACGGCGGAGGAGTTGAGGTTTGTGAGGTGGAGTTTGAGAGGGGCGCGGAGATTTTGGAAGCGAGCGGGGGCTAAGATTGGAAATGGAGATGGTGCAGCCTTCATAGCTCGCAAGGGTGAGTGTGTGTGTGATGCCCCTGAACGTGCTTTTCCAGCCATTCAATAACAATTGCGATCCTCTTGCTCTAGTGGTAATGTGGTATGCTACAGCGTTTNCAAAATTGAATAAAATGGGAGAACAAGTCTGACGACCGCCTAGAAACCCAAATGCTAGAAACAAAAATAAGACACTCGAAACAACCACACAACAAACGCACAGAAAATTTACAACTAAACAGCTCCCCACAAGACAATAGAGACAGAAATTGGTCCCTACAGGATAATAAATTACTTCAATAAAAAACTCTGACGGTGTATTCGTTTGGAATTTCAAGTGACATTTAGGGAGTGTATTCACTTGATTTTTAAAGACTTTAAAAATATCGGTGCATTCAATTTAGATTTATTAAGACTTTTAAAAGTTTTGGGGTATTCATTTTGAGATTTTAAAAAGTCTTACAAAAAGGTACTACGTCCTATTAACCAAATAAATGTCGTTTTGGATCTTTTGTACATATTTTTCCATTATTACCCTCATTTAGTTAATAGTCTTTTCATATTCTCTTCATCTTTTTTTTTATAACATCTATCTCTATCTTCATTAATGAGGGTGATTATTGGCAAAAAAATTATTCTTAATTAGTGTGCAACTTCCCAAAATGACACTTATTATAAATAGGAGGGAATATTAATTAACTTATTTGAGACTGAGATTTATTAAGACTAGTAGTCTATCATGTGCACATGCACCGATACAATTAAAGTGTTATAGAGTGTGTGTGTGTGTATATATATATAGGATGTAGTTCAAATGAGAATCAAGTCTTTGCGTAAGAAACCGTGAGAACCGTTATTTTTAATTGTAAGTAGCGCTATCATTGATTTTATTTTAGTGCTATTGTTAACATGAATAAATTTTATTTAAAATAGCAATACAGTTTATATGAGCATTTGTGAACATGATAGTACTATGTGATATTAAAAATAGCATCATACACAATTAAAAATAGCATCAAATATGGTTCTCACTGTTCTCACACCAAGAATAGTTTTTATTTGAACCAGCCCCTATATATGTAATATATATATATATATATATATATATATATATATAAAAGAAATTGTAAAATAGTAATGGACATATCACATTTTACAAAATTGATATTAGTAAATGAACAATATAATACAAACTATTTAACAATAAATGAATCACGATAATTGATTGCGTAAAATATATTAGATAATGGAATTTTTGTAATATTGAGGCNTATTATTTTACAATTATGTAACTTCCATAAACCATTTGTGGTGAATTATAATTAGTTAATTTTTGTATAACTATTATATTATAAAATAATTAATAAAATATGATTACATTTAATTAATATAAAATGTAACAATTCTACCATGATTGACTAAAAAAATAGGCGGGAAACTTTGCTCTTGCATTAATCGGATAGGCTATCATTATAGATATCTAGATTTTTTAAGATTTTGTGGGATTTCTAAAAGAAAAAACCTTATACGAAAGCTCACTTCAAATTTCACCTCAAGATTTCACAGTATTCCTCCGAAATTTGAAAATCTTAAAAAGTCTGAAAGTGTCACTGACATGCGTCATATTTACGTGCATTTTATAGTGATTTCCGTGTCCGTTTTGTCGTAGTTTGATATATAATTAATTACTATTTAATTAATTATTATTTAATTAGTTAATTATATAATTATTTATATTAAGCTATGATGAGGGGTTTTATTTGAGTTTTGACAGGAAATGGGGCCGAAATAATTATTAGAGTCAAAAACGGCAGAAAACGGTAGAAGGCGGTATACTAATAGTGCATTGGGACGGATCTTTTATAAGGCCCATATTTTGAGAAGGGAGTTAGCCCATTTTATTGTCTGTTGGGCTGCATAGCTAGTTCATCAAAGCTAATAATTTCAGCCCAAACAATGTGGCCCAAACCTCATTAATGAAGGGTATAGTTGTAATTTCGCCATGAGAGATGGCTTTCTTCTTCATCTTCTTCACGCAATGCCTGCACGTCCGCCATTGAAGAGCTGCCGGAGCTCCGCTGCTCGTCCACCACCTCGCTGCTGCACAGACGCCGGAGCTCGCTGAACGCTGCTGCCATCATGTCGCCGGAGAAGAAGCTTGAAGTTGTTGTCCGCGCCGAAGGAATCCTGGCCGCCGGAATCAGCCGGGAACCGCCATGGCCGGCCACCTGGAAGCACGCTGACCACCTGGAAGCAAGGTACGACCACCGGGAGATGCCTGAGAACCCGTAGAACACGCCAGTAACTGAAATCCGCGCCGAAAATGGAGTTTAACACTCCCAGGTACACACGGGTCGTGTGAGCCCGAGACACGGCTCGTGTCGCTTCGACGGGTCGTATATCGCGCTCTCGACTTTTCCACACGACTCGTGTGGCTTATGACACGAGTCGTGTGGCCCTGGACGCATCAGAATCGGATTTTGCGCGTTTTCCTATTTTTTTCAGCTTTTTCGACTTATTTCGACTAGGACTCGATCTCGACTATTTATACAACTCTTGGACACGTTTTTGAGGAGTCTTGGACATATTTTCAGATCTTGGGAGACCTTTGGAGGATAGAAACACGAGCAAGACGAGGGAGAAAGCCGGGAAGAAAGGATCGACGGAGCCGAATAAGCTTTTTCTTTCTGTTTCTTTTCCCCTTTCGAACTCAATGTTTTATATCTATTTTTCTTATTTTGAAATCATGTTTCTAGGCTAAATTTATATTAGATTCTAGGATTTGTTAGTACTCGGATTGATTTATGATTTAGTTTTTATTTATTTCATTCCGGTTTATCTTTCGTTTATAAATTTCTTGTGCTTATTATTATTGTGTGAGTAGATGGCCACTATGAATGCATATTTGCAATTGATTTGAGACCGAGAGGAGATAATTGATTGCTAGAATTGGGAGATTTATAACGTAAGAGAATAAACAGACCGAGAGGTTGATAGGACCTTGCGAGAGAACGAAAATCCTAGGAACTTATGGGAGTTAGTTGTTCATCTTGAGACCGAGAGGAGATAGATACAATTAATATCTACGATTTGACTTGTTCGAGAGAAAGGTTTGAAATCAATTTAGCGATTATCTCTGCGATTGGTAAAATTAAATAAGGTTTGTTTGAATATATACGTTTCATGAATTAATTCCGAGGAAAGCATAACCTAGAATCTACCTTTTGTATCTTATTTATTTTTATTTGTTTAGATAAATTTGTTTTTAGTTTAATTCTTAGTTTATAATCATCATTCAATTCACTAGTCTAGATAATATTTAATCGTTATTATTTTAGTACTTAATTAATTTAATTACAATCTCTGTGGAATACGACCTTGCTCGCCACTACCTATAGTTACTCCGTACACTTGCGGATAGCGAAAATAATTAGCGAACAGTCACTCGAAATCTTAAATATGAAGGTGGGATTTGGATTGAGATTTCGTATATGCTTTTTCTTTAGAAATCCTAGCAAATCTTAAAAAGTTTTAACAAATCCTAGTCTCAAATAAGTTAAATACCTCATGATTTTATAAGACTTCCCAAATGAATCAAGACTTTTAAAAGTTCGAGAAGCCTAAATTAAATACACCGGGATTTTCGAAGTCTTAAAAAGTCTTTAGAAATCCCAATTGAATACACCTTCCTTTATACGAAATTTCAATCCAAATCCCACCTTCAAACTTAAGATTTCATAGGATGCTTCGAAATCTGAATATCTTAAAAAGTATCAAATCTTAAAAAATTTTAAAATGTCACTCGAAATCTCAAACAAATACACTCCTTTGTTAGACCACCTAAATATAGATAGTCATACTCACGCTGACAAAAAGTTGATTGTAATTGTTTGTTGTTTTGCGCTTTTCCAACTAAATCCTAGGAATTTCAAGGCACGAAGTAGCTCAACTGAAATGAGTGAAGGAAAAGAGTTAGCCAAGTTATAGATTATCATATCAGAGATAATATTTTTACCTCAAAGTCTAACTCAAATTTAACTCAAGTCAACCAACCTCAATATTATCAATATAATTAAATAATACCAATCAATCATCATCAAACATCACATTCTTTATCCAAGAAGAAGTATTTCTAGTTTGATTGTCTAATCATTGATCTGAAAATTTCTACAGGTAGGTCGCTCATAAAGTTCCCGATCCACGATTCTGCTATTTTTTGGAATCATTTTATTGGAATACAATGGGATGAAAACAAGAAAGTTCCCTAGATAGGAAGTTTTGAATGTTTATGTAGAACTACAAAGTAAGAAACATTCTACTTGAATTAGATTAATTCATATCGGCAGATCATTTATTAATCATTAATTTAATGATAAATAACTACAAGTGACAAAGATACATAATTTAAATAATGGAATATCTAATGTTTTAAAATAGTATCTAGAATAACCTCTAATTCACTTTATGCACTCACATAGTTTTAATTATCCATCCTTTACAATCACATATCTTCTACTTTTACATCAAATCAACTTTAATCATTATATTTTAAATATTATTTCAATATAAACTAAAAATCTCACTCAAACATAACTTAGTCAACTTTTTCAAAATTAATTATGATTATCCAACAATTTCAATCAAAACTAAAATAACTTAAATCCAATAACCCACCAAATTTCCTTCCAATTTTCCCCTTTAGTCCCTAAATATTTTTTTTCTCTCTCCACTCCCTATTGCCATTTTTTTTTCACTTGACTCTATCACATTAAAAAACATACAAATTCAAGAGTTGTCAACATCACTTTTAACTTACCAATTTTTTTCTAATTTTTTTTATTCTTTCTTCACAAATTTTCTTCTTCTTCTTCCCCATTTTCCCGATCAAAACTTTTCCCCCTTTTTGCAGGTGTTGTGGCGACGATCTCAGACAAACAACGGGCACAAAGAAGCCTGACAAAAGACGGTCGTTATGGGGGTGATTGTTTATGATTTCAACTTAATAAAAAATCAATCAAAACTCAAATTTAACTCAACTTTAATCCAACTCAATATTATCAATATAATTAAATAATATTAATCAATCATTCTTACACATCACATAAACTTT